TTTTTTTTTTTTTTTTTTTTTTTTTTTTTTTTTTGTGATATATATAATAGTTGTTAACTTGGGACAAGGGTTTGATTTCCAAGAACGCGGGTTTTCTGTCGCAACTATTTAATTTTTTCTCTTTTAACTGATTCATGTTAAGACGTTTTAAAAAAATCTAAAATCAACGGGAAGTCTTGGTCTTATTGAAAATGCCAGTGAAAGTGAATCGTATAGAGGTACTCAAATAGGATCAGTGATCGATTTGTAGGTGCAAAATTCCCTTTAAGATCAAACAATTCCATTACTTCAATTAGTTCCCATGTTCCTCGAACTTGAGACTTCCTAGTAATTTTGACCTTTGGAGCCAGGAGGTCTCAAGTTCAAATCCAAGGAGGAATAAAAGTCCCCTTATGGCCACAGATGTTCAAATGCGGTGACTCCGTGCTATCTGCAAAGCAGGTGGTCACCCTGGGATTAGTCGGCTTGCATAGCAGGTTGAATATCCAGGTTAATAAAAAAGCATGAAAACACATAAGAACTCTTGAAGACCTACATCAAGATAACCTCCCTTGAAAAGATTTTTCAAATACTTAAATATTGTTTACTGTTGAAAATCCATAACCCCAATTGTTGTGGTAATACTGACAGTATTTTGAAAATGTATTTTATTCCCCAAATTAATATAGTTTACTTTTTACTGGGTCAAATCGTATTGACTTCCACCGCATCAGCCACTGTAGGGAGAAGAGGAAGTGTAACAGTAACTATGCTTAATCCTAGCCGACAAATAAGGAAGAAGACTGTTACTCAGTAAACGCTTATCAGGTAAAACATGTTCATCGGAAATTCATTTTGATAGTCAAGAATGTTACCCAATAAGATATGTGAAGATGGTAACTATTGTTGGTAAGCGCCTACCTTGTAAAATTTTGGTGAACGACTCCTTAACAAATTAATCCAATTGATAAATTATCCATGGAACTAGAACTCGAGTTCAGGTCACAATGTGTAACTCAAAATGCCAAACTAGTATCAAGTTCGAGCTCGGGCATTTTTTGAAAAGATAATTCGAGTTTGAACCTACTCTTGTTTTCTCGAGCCAAGTCTAAGCAATCTGCTACTTGATTCGATTCGACTCGACTTATTTATACCCCGCTCCAAAAGTGGGATGTATGCAACATATTCTCTCCAAGTAGAAAACCAAAAATATCCCAAACCCTTGGCTTGCGGATTTGGAAGTGAATTTCATTCCAATCTTCTTGTTGGTTTGAAGGAATGCTTGAATTTGAATCTCGGAATTTCATTGAAATCCTACGAACATGAGATTTAGAAATCCCAAATGGGTGGTCGGTACGGATGTGTAAAAAGTCACCTGATCCAATTTAAACCAACCTATCAATCATAATCAGATATCTAGTTGTAATTGGATCTAATAGGGATCGAATCCAATATTTCAACATCCAAATTGGATCGATCGGTTCTCAGACAACAATCTAGAATTCAATAAAACCGAACCAATTCAATCCAATTGTCATCTGGTTATCATTCGACCACCATTAATGATATTATTTTTTAGTTGATATTAATAGTTCGTGTTTTCTAATCAATTAACAAAATATATGAATATTTGGTTCAAAAGTTTGATTAATTGGTTGAAACTCGTATCAAAATATTGGATGTATCTTGGTCCAATCCAATGAATATCCAATTGATGGAACCGATTCGATTCAATCATCTATTTGATTTTTATAAAGAACGGAATTCAAGGCCATTCAAAAGCATTCTATCAAACCAAACGAGAACTCGGTCCTCAACTACGACAAGTATTTGGCAAAGGAAACAATGCAACCATAGAGCATACAAAAACTGTAGAAAACCGTAGATTTACGATTCGACGAAGAGAGCGCTACAGATTACAATATATGCCATTGCATATGTCCACATTATTTCAGAAACAGGTCAAAACTTAAGCAACCAAAACAACAATTATTTGTGGGTGTACCAGGCTGTTCATCTTATGGTGTGTAAAAGTTGCTAAAACCCTAGATCCAGCACCATTTCTATTGTTGTTATTAGACTGCTATATATTTTAGATAGACCAAATCAATCCTAAATTGGTAAACCCAACCTCTTATATATAATAAAACGTTTATTGACTTTTTCATGAACAGAGTTCTACCTCTAACGCATTTAGTCAACTCTCGAGTTGACCCGACTTAGCCCTTGACTTTTAGCGCATCAAGATGTCAGCAACACGCCGCCAACGGAAACTGCAAACAGCTAACATCTGCAACTGGATTAAAGACGGAAAGTGATGTTAACATTTCGGTTTGATTAAAACCTTAATCTCTGCCGTTTGAAATCGAAGATTAAAAACTTAAGCCTTGCCTTTTGAAACCATAGATAAACGTTTTACAGCCAAGATTTATGGGGCCGGGACTTTTTCATTGCAGGAATTGACAAATCCGTGGAAAGATACAACCTACATTGCATGAGGTACAAGTTACTGTAACATTACCGCTCTTATTTGTCAATTATTGCACCGGAAAAATAATTTTCCTTCTACAGACAATATCATGCATGCAGAATGGGCATTGATAAGGTGAAACAAGACAGGATAAAACAAAACAAAAATTTATCATCTCGCATTTGGCTCGACATTAGACTGGGAGAAGACAGGCAATGCATTTCTTTTTGTCCCACAAAAATAGGCCGAAAAAGAATGTTATACCACTAATATCAGCTGTATAAATAAAGTGATCTTTTGTCTCATGGTAGCCTGCTCCAGTCCCCTTACGAAACTTTCGTTATTGGGTTAGCCATACCAAGTCAAAATTAGACGAATGGGGTTTTCTTTGTTGACATAAGATCTAATCGTATAAAGAATCAAATGCATAATCTCAGCATTCAATGTGTATTCCTGAATAATCTCATTCTAGAGGATCATTCTAGAAGGTTCCAGAGGCAGAGGTAGTATAAATAAGTAGGATGAAGGAGGTGAGGTGGTATTCTGTTTTTGTCAACTCAATTGAGCGGGAAACCATTTTGGGAGAGTCCCAGACCTCTCAAAAGCCTGTGGAAATTGTAACCATTCGGCTAATTCAACAGATTTGAGCGTTAGCGTATGACAGAATAATGGAGACCGGACAAGATAGTAAATGAAAAATCCAAAGGAGGTTCATGGCCAAGGGTAACGATGTGGAATATGAACCATAAAAGAAAACGCCTACTAAACTGATCACAAGAGAATGATTCTGGTCTAGTTCGTGACATATTAGAAGTAGAAGGCGCTCTGGTGGGATCCTCACAAGGCCGACTTTCGTCCCTGCTCGACGGGTGGGTCTTGCAGTCAAGCTCCCTAAACTACCAATGCCAAATTTAAGAACCAAAAACCTTTCATAATTCTTTCACTCTCGCCCGTCCACTCCAGTTCATGTACCAAAGGAGCCCCAGGGTTCAAACCCAGGCACCAGCACTTACTGCTAATTCGCAGTGATTTACCTCTCCCATGACGGTCGTGGGACAGGTGCAGTGGGGATCCTCTGGACCGGTGCATCGGAGGCGTTCCAGAGGATGGTGTCTACCCTCTTGTAAACAAGATAGAAATTATGGAAAATATCTTTGCAATCCAATGTAACCGAAAGAACTTAATGGGAAAATAAGATTTAGCATACCTCCAGGTGATTATGGTGGCAAGAGTGCATGTATAAAACTAGGTTTCAATATATTCAGGAAAATTGGCCTTCCCCAGATAAACTTGTTGCATCTCCTCTCTCCAGATCTGCATCAACAAAAATGACTCCAATCAAATGTGTTCTTAAGACCACAGATGACATTAATAATAACAAACAATAAGATAACTGAAGTACAAACCACTTCTCGGAATTCAAGTCGGATATGCGGTACATTTGTCTTGTGAATATCATTTCCATGCGGTCCTCTCTTGAAGTACTCATGCCCAATCCAGTGAGACTGGAAAATGGAAATAAGTCATATGGCATGCAAATTACTCGCTCCCTCCATCCCAAAATAAGTGTCTACATTACTATTTTAGTTTGTCCAAAAATAAGTGTCCACTTCCAAAAATAACTGTCTAGTTTCCTGTTATACCCTTAGTTATGAGATGGAGAAAATTTCTATCAATATAAGTAAGGGTAAAATTGTCCTTTGGTTAATTAAATAGGTGTAATAATTACACATTCCTAAAACTTTGTACCTTTTTCATTGAGGATATTTATTTTGGGACAGAGGGAGTATTTGAATATCATCATTACAAACAAATTGATGGTCTTGATTTTGGTTTCATAATATTTCTGTATTTCATCCCAATGACTGTATTTAGATAAGGTACAAAAAATTTACTTGAACATTATGATTTTATGGAGTAGAGGTAGTATTTTTTACTATACATATCCATATATGATATACCATATAAAAGAGTGTTTACTATCAGAAGATACTCGATATGAAGATACAAGATCATTTTCCCTTTCATTAAACTTTACTAATCTTTTACCTTCAAAACATGCGAGAAACCTGATTGGTACACAGAATTACGGGCGATCTCACAAAGATCACATGCACTCAACTTCCATACCTGTAAAAAGAATGTAACATGCTTTGAGGCCAAATAACATCATACACACACATACATATTGCATATGGAAGTTGGGTGAGAATGCTTACAGAAGCAGCAATACTGTATTCTTCCACCAAAGGTTCCTTTGTCAGGTGGATTTGTAATGGATCATCAGTAGATAGGGAAACATTAAGGCCTCGAAGAAAAAACATTGGAAAAGGGTTCCGATGGTAATCCAAAAATAAGGAGTTGTTGCTTAAAGGAGACATTGCAAGACCAATCTGACCATCAAATAATATACACCATCAGCATGTGTACTTTTAGTTAAAGGAGGTCATCAAATCAATACACACCAATCAGGAAAAGGCTGATACCTGAGCAAGGTAGTATAGATATTGAAGCACAGGAGATTTTCTGAGATTGATGCCATGGGCAATGTTATGAGTTGTAAGAAATGAGGCAGCTAGGTGGTCGATATCACCAGCCTGATCAGTAGCAAGAAATGCAACTCGTAAGTTTAGTTTTTACAGCCTACAATCAAACAAAATGGGAAGGGGTCTGAAATACATACCTCTCCACAATGAGGACGGAATCTGATGGTTGTCATTCCTTTAGATTCACGGAGCTGAGACATACCATTAACACGCTCAGACCTCATAGCATTCATTGACAAGGATTAACATTCGTATGCATAATTATAAAAATTCTTGGCAAAACAAGAGTTGTCCTCCTATGAGGCTTTTCAAACCTTTCCCTTTCCCTTCTCCCTTTATCAGTTAGTAATAAGCATTTCTGCTCCTTAACACTGTTCTTGAAACCTTTTTTTAAGGGAAAGGAAAGGGAAGGGATGCGAAGGAGTGGAAAAACATGTGTTCTCTAAACTCTTTACGAGGGAAAGAAATAAAAGGGAAAATATCATTAACATTTCCCCCAAAAACTCCCAAATGTGGGAAGAAAGGGAGAGAGAAAATCTTAAAGGAGTCAGCCATCTTTTATGATCTTCTATGACAAAAATATCCTCATACAATGATGTGAGGAGAACAAATACAAAGGGTACGTTTGTAAAAATGACATCTTCCCTTTCCTCTCTCTTATTCAGGAACATGAAAAATTGTTTCCCTTCTCCTTCCCTTTCCTTTCAAGAACACAAATACAAACTTTATTTCTTATCCTTCCCATTCTTTTCTCTCTCTTTCCTTTCCTTTCTTTTCTTCCCAAATTCGAGAAGCCAGTTGAAGGCAGAGAGAGAGAGAGATGGTTTGATGCCCTCTAGCATGCTTTTTATATAACACTGCTTGTGAACATACCTTATTTAGGGTATAGAGATTTGCATAACAATAGTACACATAGTATGAGAAGGCAGGATTGAATATATTGGTCCATTGTGCAGGTGTTGGCATGTGCTTGGTAGGACGCCTTTCAGGTTTGCTCTCGTCATCCACCAAATCCAATCCTACCACCTGCAATTACTAGACTGTTAAGACATTCAACATTACATAGATTTTTTTGTGAGAAATAAAACAAATTAAAGTCATTTGGGCTTAACTTTTTTATCCACCTACCCGGCCCCATAAAGACCACATTAAGAAACTACACTGTTTTCTGGCTGAAACAACTCATCAAAAGTTATAATATGAGCGTTGTTTCCCATGTGCTCATCAACCTAACAACCAATACTATGAAGAACACAAAACAAAGAATCTTGCACATGTGCCTCATCCAGAAGACTACAAATTGGAGAGTTAGAGCTGCACCAGCCACTCTTAGTATCATACGCCTCAAAAGATCACCATAGGTGACAACCTAAGCCTACAAATTAACTCCAGGAATCTGCCATCATTGGTTCTCCAGTGAGAGAAAGAGAAAGAGACATGCAAGTCCCTTGTCGATTGTTGGTGCCCAACAATACTGACCTGGAGGTAGTTCATAACTTCATATGGTAAATCACTGATCCACATATCTCACTTGCTTGACCACTAAAATAAAGCCGCTAACTTCCTCGTAAACAACATGACAAATATCAATAACTAATAATTCCAGTGAAAGCAGATAAGCGCCCTCTCCCCTTTCTGATATCCAGCAAAACTGGTCCCCCTCCCATTTGACCATTCATTTGGTGTACCGATCTCACAACAAGCATAGTAATAGGCAACCCTGCCAACAGTTTGCAATGATCTTCACACATACCAACTATCAATTTAAGCATTGCTTTAGTCTACTCCAAAACATGGAAATACACCAAGAGCATACATGACAAACAGAAAGATGTCTTATTTGAGTCATACCTGTTTCAAGAAAATATGCAACTGAGGATGTGATTCTGGGTCCACGGTAACCTCAAAGAGAGGAAGGAAGATATTGTCCAGCATCGTCTGAAATGATGTGACAATACCCATTTCCTTGTATACATTATAAAGCCGGGGCAGCTGAAAAGGACAGGAGGTTCAGAAGTGAGCATTGATATTTATGCTTTCAATGTTCATAGTCTTCACAAAGAATGTTAGTTGGCACAAAAGTAGTGTTCCATAACGAATATAGATTTCATGCTTTCAATGAAGAATCGAAAACAGTTGGTTAACAATAATAGATGTCAAATGTAAAAACCTAAGATGTCCATCAGTTATACATGGCACAGGTCATAGCTTGCTGCATGATTCATTCACCATAAGTTATTAAATCTCATATGTGAACTTTTGATTTCTATGCTTTAAAAACCTGAGGGATATTTTGTTTTAGATTTAGCATAGAGGTGATCATTTGCCGGCCTGGACCAGGCCTAACTTGTTTTTTTGTCCAACGGGCCTAATATTGTAAACCCAAGTCCTTTTTTTTGGGCTTGATAACTTGCCATTTCCCGCCCTCTAAACGGGCCGGGCTTGCCCACGGCTAAAGGGCCTAAAAGGTGTAACTCTTAATTAACAAATGTGGAACCAAAAGGTAAAGGAAGAAGACCGTTGCAATTAAAACTTTAAGCAACTACTGACTCTATCCATTGTTGATCGATTAGGACTTTTGACATAAGGATGCTAACAAAGATAATGTAGAGCCTTTTGGGTTCTCAAGGGAAACCAAAAAGTCCCAACTCACATCCTATAACTTCAATAATTTAATTTTAAAATATACTAGTATAATTTTAATTAATGGTAAAAAAATACTAATTATAAAACATAAACTGGCCGGGCAGGCCTGTCCATATTTATTTCTACATTGCCTATGTCCGCCCATTAATTTTAACGAACAAACCTGGGCCCGTCCATTTTCTCAATAATGGTTGTCCAAGCCCGTATTTCTAGCCGGCCAGATGGGCCTGTCCTTACTTTGTGCTTATCATATAACGTTACATGTATTTGGAGAAAGGGGCGTATGAAGAGTTGGCATGGATAGTTGATACTCACATCGTATAAACAATATAAAGAATCAGAAAAACCAAGGAAAATAAATAATGTTAGAAGAACCTTTAATTAGGATTATAGAAGAAAACTGAGGGCAATGGAATGTTTACAGCAGCAACAAGTCTTTGATCCAACCTACACAGATAGTAAGTGGTCTATTCCATTTGGGAGAAAGGCCACTCATTTTTTTGCTAATGCACAGAAAAGGGGGCATATTTGGGATAGTAGGAGGTTTTACTATATAGAAGATAAAGGGAAAGACTAGTGGTTTAGATGAAAATCCTAAAAGCCATAGTGCCTGCTTATTTATACCACTTGGGTTAAAACATTAATCAATTTTGTGTGAACCTATATTGACCAATATCTCTTAAGAGCTCCTACTTAGCCACAGCAAAATTATCTTTTTCACTACAGTTCAGACCTCTAACTATTTGTTGTAAAAAGAAGAATTTGACAAAAGCCAGCCTCAATATTTTATAATAAAATTGTAGCAACCTTCTGAGTTCTTAAGACCTAGAACAGATAAACAAGTAAATCATTTGTAAGAAAAATAATCATTATGTATATATTATAGGTAATGGGACAGGTTAAATACAGTACCTGAATCAACCAGACAACGTTCTCACTGTACAATTCATTATTCACGATCCAACTCGCCAAATTGTCCCACTCGCTTTGTTTTCTCCCATATATAGATATTCTGTATTCAGCCATCTATCAAGGCAAAAGCTTTAAGTATCAGACATGAATCATCCATCAAGGTCAGGCAACTCAGAAATGATGAGACTAAGATGAATGGGTATGGCATGATACAGATCAATACATGTCAGATCTTAAAATGTGAACCATATCAGCAGCATGAATAACAATAATGCTAATAATAAGGACAGCACAATGAAGAATCTTATAAAAGATCATAGTGTCGTAACACACTTCAAAAGATGGCTTCATGTTCAAGTATTTACCATGCTAATCATGCATCCATTCAAACAATTGCAGATACATATCTCAAACCAAGCTCAAAGATATAACCAGCTTAAAATGCTTAATCAAATAATTTTCCCTATGATTATGAAAATGATAGAATCATGTACAACTAATTACATTTGTAGTAGTGTAAAAAGATGTGCATAAAACACTAACTTTGTCAATAATGTTAGCATGCTAGGCAAAGAACGAATGTGTATTGCAATGACACCCTAGTATGCATCCTTCTATAAATAATGGGATAAAACAGAAAAAGAACAAAATAACATGGAGTCAGAGCATGATTACAGTATCATGCAGACAGAGATTGGAGTGGGGAAGATGAGGTTTTTAAATACTTCAAAACATTTATCCCAAAGAGGATGTCAAAACTCACTTGATATTTACTTGCATCAAGATCTGCAAACACTTGTTTTGTCAGCTCAGCAAGGAAACGGCCTGAAAAATAGTAAGCATGAGTTAATAGTTAATACAAGGAAATCCACAAGGCATACAACTCAAGTGAACCAAGATGGTGGTAAAAGCAAACTACATACAAACCATCTAACAATCAACCAGTACTAAGATGTAAAATATACAAGAGTTTGCCAAAAACCAATTGGCTTATAGAGCATAAGATTTCTTTTTCAAGAGAGCAGCACTAGCTCCTTGCACACATTCAAGTTTAAATAAGTGAACCTTACCCTGAATCAGATTATCCTGCTTCAAGAAAATCTCCCTAAGCCTACTCTGACCACATGGATTGTATTTCAGATTGAATTTGTCAAAACGATGAAAAGTGCTCTTGTCTGCATGCACATCTAATAGATCAACATTGAGGTCATACCTGCATGAAGAATTCTGATCAGCTAGTTGCCACTAAAGCAAAAGATTTCAAAGAACACTTAAAATTGCTACAAACAGAAGGAAAAAAAAACTATGCAGCAACCAGTTGCAATCGATAATTAAGTTACCCAGTTAAATCCAGGCTCTCAAAAACCTCTTTTAAGGTCAGATATGTACCATCACGAAAGATTACAACCTGAAGAAATAAACAGAAGAAAGAAAAATCAATAAACAGCAAAAATTACCTACACACTCTAGCCCCAAAATTATTTCAATATACATGATAATAAAATTTTGATTATTGCAGACAAAGCTTGCTAAGGGACTCTAAATGTTCTAATATGCTAAACATGATACACAAGTCAAAGAAAATGTTTAATGTTTGATAGTATCATCTGGGCCTCCACCTAGTGTAGATGAATCAGAACAGAAATACACATTTTACATAATCAGAAGAGAAAAAACAGTCCAACAAATTACCTCATCTGGTTCCTTTCTTAATTTGGACTTTATGAACCTCAACAGATGCTTCTGATTCATACATGCAGAGTGATGAACATGAGTGTCGACCTTACGGACATTATAGAAGTCGCGATGTGGTGCACTTTTCTGAGCTAGGAATTCTTTGTCCGCATTTAGCATCAAATGAAGGTTGAATTTCTTGATCGATTTCCCATGCATAAGCATAGCATGTTACAAATCAATTGAACTTACAAAACCAAAAACTTGGTAAAATTTAGTAGATAAAGAAACTTAACACAAGTGTATCTACCTGTTCCAGGAGACCAAGTCGATGATGACATACTGTTCGTGCATTCCCAGCAGCTATTATCTTAAGGATGTGATGCAGGTCAGTGAAAAATGTAGTTGCATCAGCAACTGGAAAAAGCTTCTCTTTTGCTGAAAGGAAGAAATAAACTCAAAACCAATAACCAGAACCATCTTAACTCACACTACAGACAAAAGCATCACCACCAAGAATCATGGCATCTTACAATCTTTATCTGCATAAACATGAACCACTCCGTCTTCCATTTGAAAATAATGCTGCAAGCAATTAAATATCAAGTCGAGAAAATAAACATCACCAACTCGACATGGATTAACAGCAAGCACAAACTTGTCCCGGAAAAAATGAGCTGCAAACTCACATTGGATTTTCTCTCAGGGAAATACTGAAAAGGATTTGGATTCCGCTTCGGAGTACTAGGATCAGTTATAACTTCCTTCTCCCATGGAGCAATACTTTCTCTAAACACATAGCTCCTTCGCATTTCAAGACAAACTTGTAAGGCTCTGTAGACCTCAGCTTCATCAGAAGACGGTGTCTCTGAAATAAGCACAGTCGGAAAGAATGAAGATAAATGGAAAGCCAAACTTCTTGGAGCACATAGACAAAATTAAGACTTCATATAATTCTTTAAGCTTCTAAAGAAGTTTGGAACGTGTATGAAGGCTTTGCATTGTTGACCTCACATGATCTCAACAGCAAAAAGTTAACCTATTAGTTTTCTGATAACACAGTTTGAACTCATCTGGTACACCGTACACAACAAAGGTAAGCTAGCAAAGTTCAAAAATTCATAAGAAGGTAACTGCCAAACATTTATTTTTTTTCAATTCCAAGTCCATACAACATTGTGTTCTAACTTCTATCTACAGCATCTTTTCTTTTTGTTAATTGTGGGTGTCCATGCCAGCTTGTGCGCACCTCGACTAATCCCAGGGGCCCTGGAGACAGCCAGGAAAATCCACAGTGGCTTTGCAAGACCCGAACCACAAACATCTGAGGAGAATCCCCAAAGGCCCAAGCCTTTTATCTAATATTTTACTAGCCTGTAGTTGTTAACTAATCAAATAATTGACCAACAGAAATATTTACTGCACGGGACTAGAAAGGATGTACACCATTCAAACACATCCAAAGTTTGTTCAATCTATCATTAGCATCAATCAACACACATATAACACAATCCAAGTATCAAACGTATTCTCATAGGTAACTCCGTCCGCCATGCCTTAGCCATAGTATCAATCGTTACAGCACCATCCTTGGTGATCCGCACTTACTTGATACATGGTTCTATAGTTCAGAGTTTTGACAGTCCAAATTGAAGTGAAGAATATTCAGCTACAGGACCCTCAACAGCAGGCCATACTTCTCTCACCTTATGTCTCTTAATCTAACCTTACCTTCTTCCCTCAAGATAAAAGATAATCAATTACCCCAGAGGTAAATGATTTTGCTGCCAAATACACAGGAAACATATGTGTGTGGGTTATATATATGTAATGCAAAAGAGACATGACTACCAGATGGGGTGATTCTCAGTCGTACAAAGGTTTCATGCTCTGGTTCTTTTCTAAGAATATCAGCAGCTACTGGATCAGGTTGAACACCATGCAGGTCTCCAGATATGCTATGTGAGCGAATCATGCCAGATGAAGCTATAGGCAATTGCTCTCCATTTGGATTAACATGTTCTGGTAAATTTAGGCTTGTGCACTCCTGGCCATATTCAGAAGATGTCAAACAGATTTTATATGAAATGCTTGTTAGTCAACCAAAACAAGATCCAATGTCACTCGTAAACAAACACAAAGATCTAATAGTGCACCAAAAGCTTACAGCATTTCCATTGGTGTGAAGGTATGTTGTATCTAGTTTAGTATTGTCAGTAATATCAGCATCTTCTTCAGATCCTTCCCCACTTTCGAGAGCACTTGCACTTGCAATTGGAGACTTTGGAGAAGTCGGTCTAAGTGGAAGCCCTGTTCTCTTTGTTGACCCAGCAGCAGATTTCTCTACAACAATCGTAGAACCTTAGAGAACTTAACACTATACCCAAAGAACCAAGTATATTTGAAACACTCAATAAAAAACAATGTAACAGGCCTAACGGCAAATAAAGCACCTTTCAACGTTTTGAATGCTTTAATAACAAGAGAAACAATATTCAGTTAAAGTAAGTCTTTCATCATATTCTACAAGACTCGCAGCAAATTATAACCACAGTCTCCTTTATTTGTATGTATGAAAGAAGAAGAGGAATACAAAACAGTAAACATACATGTTTCTCATATCTATCTTAGATTGATTCATACATTTAAATTGCATATATCAACTCTCTGCTGAGGAGACATGCCCTGGCCCAGGTATTTAATTTATCAAGTGCTTTTGTACAACTACCATCCAAGTTTTTTCTGCTTATGGGTTATTCCTCATTCTCCTCGTACCCTTCTCCGATCACTTGACTCTAACCGGTCAGCTACATGCATGTCAATGAGAATCTTAAGTGCCTTAAAACACATAACCAGGCTATTATTATTATAGTGTCAAGTTTTAATAAAAACATGGTTGAAAGAAAAACAATGGGATCTAGCAAACAGAAAGCACTGCCCATTCCAACCCTTTTCCCTTATACTAAGTTCTCCAGTCAAGTGCGATGATGAAATCAATATGAAACTCGCTACATAACTACAGATATGACAAGGCACTATGAATAATGGCTGCCAAACTAGATATACATGTAGGAATATGGATGCAGAAATGTTCTCTTTTGCTGGGTATAAAGCCATGCAATTTTCTTGTATTGGGTGCAATACAGATTCAAACGAATGTGAACACCATATATATTTGCTATAGCACATTTACTGAGAATTAGATGACGTGTTACTAAAGATGATAAAAGAAGTACTATGTATTAAACAATGACTATAAACGAAACGGCACTATCCAGTAATCTATATACCAGTAGGTGAGACCTTTAGCTACATCATCAGATATCCTATTCGACTATCCATGGTGGATGATTCAGACCCATTGCCTTTGATGGCCAAAGGTCCAATACCACCATCACAAAAAGGAAATACCAATAGGCACTTGATAATAGCCCACTGAGCTATTCCAGCCTAATAGCTTTGACAATCCTGATTCCATGTTTAAGACTATTAAACAAAATATACAAGTTATACCATTTGCTGAACATATGTAATCATTCTAACGTCGATAACATGCAGGAAAATCTACATACATGATCACATACGACCATGCAATTATGCTCAGAGAATTAGCAGGGCTTTTAAAAGTGATTATGGGATATTGATTGATGAGAATCATAATCAAATTTAATAAAATGGGCTTCAGGAGATAGTCTTTGATGTGTTTATGTTGTTTCTAGTCAGATAAAAGTTATTTGAGTGTTTGGCAGATTCTTATTAGTTAAGGAACTAAGAGAAACAATGACGAAAAAGACATTGCTATAAAAAGATTAGTGAAATGGGAGTAAAAGTAAATGGGCAAAACAATGATGATCGATCCTACTACGGCCGATAAGAAACTGATTACCCATGCCCCAAAATGATTAGACGCAGAATTTGTTTAGCAAAAATATTAAAACTAGTTCAGATAATCAGCACATCAAAAAGAACTCCTAAGTGGCAAACGACTGCAACAACTACAACACAAGTATACAATCCTATTAAGCCAAAGTTCATCCTTTAATGATGATATTCCAAGTAAAAGTTCCCAGATTTTCCTACCTTCCGAAAGCGTACAGAGTGTAGGCAACCCGGGCGGAATAACATCCGCATCACAAGCACCTACGCCACCAGAAATCGCCGTGACGTCAGGCAAGGAAGTCGAAGACCGACGATAATATCCATCATCTCCTCCTTTTCCCCGTCCTCCCTGGTTCCGCCTCTGATGCTGCTTCTCAGTACCACCATACTTCCTGTAATGCAGAGACGAGTCATCATCGTAGGTCCCACTGTCGTCTTCTCTCTCCTTCTCAACAGTCTTTGCAAACTCCAGTAATTGATTTAGGGTTTTCCGGTGCATGTAGAAGGCGGAAACGGCGACGAATGAGGCTCCGGCTAGTGCCGCCATAGCTAGATGCAACGCATAAGCATCCATGTAGGCCTCTCTGTCTACAGGTATAGATATATAATAATAATAATGGTGATCGAAGAAAATGGGTTGCAATGAGTGATGATGGAGCTCAAAACCCTACTGATAACGAACCAGGGTTTGGGGTTTATAATGAAGATGGAAGTGAAGTATTTATAGGTGGGGAGAACAAGAATAAGAATAAAAAGGAGTTTATGCGGAAGAACAGATGAGTCCCTGTCGCAGTCCCTTTCTCTCTCGTGGCTTTTGGCTTTTGGTGGTGGCCATTGGGATAAGAACTGGATATTATTTGGTAACACCATCGTACAATGCTAAGAATTGATACGTTTTTACAGAGTTTTTATTTTATAAAATCTTTTATAAATTTTAATAGATTTTTTATATTATTTCAAAAAACTATCAAATACTTAATTCGTTATTGAATTATTACTTTTTTATACAAAATTCTTTTTAAAACTGTAATATGCCGATAGAACTGTATTTATATCTATACTATATTATAAAATATTTGATAAAAACTCTTAAAAACAGTTTTTTATGCATGAAGTACTGTTTATTGATGCATATTACATAAAATTCAAAATTACATGTAATTTTGTGTAAATACAACTTATTAAAGCTTTATTTCTTAAATTTATGTAATTAACTGCAGATAAACATAATCAAATACAGGATAAACATTCATTTTAAATATAAAAATCTAAAATATAATTAAGATAATAATTGAGTTCTAACAAAATGTTTAATTATTATTTTAATAAAAAAATTATATTATTAAATCAAAAATACTTATAAAAAATTAATTAAAGAAGCTACACCAAAAAAAACGAGAACTATTAAAAAGTTAATTTTATACTAATATCGATTTATTTTTTCAGATTTTTATGTCATCCTCAAATTTATATTTCATTCAAAAATAAAAATATTGTCACTTTCTCAAATTACATAAAATCGTATTGTATCTATAGAGACAGAATAAAAACTAAACATTAAGATGAAGATTTATCTCGTTGCATTGCACGAGTACTATTCTAGTAATATTTTAATAATAAAATGGATTTTGAAACACTAGAAAAGATAATCTGTTAAAGTTAAATGTAATTTCTTTTGCAGATTTTGACTTTTAGTCTATTTAAAAAAAACCTTACATATAATATGTTAAAAATGCTCTAACATTGTTAATTATTGAAAGGTAATCGAGTGGAAATATGATATATTTTTAGAACTTTTATTTGTTGTATGTTATATAGTACATCTTAAATATATGTATTTTGCTTTGGTATAAGTATATATAGGGTTGGGTTTACGTGAGACAACATGTTTTATTGAGACCCGTGAGACCATATTTTTATACTTAAAACTCCACGGCAAAACAATTTGAATGCAAGAAAACTTTGAACCTTTACAGCAAAAACACTATGAATATTACTTTTACAATGTTTTACTGTGGAGCTTCAAGTGTAAAAAATGGTCTCACGAAAACAGTTGGTCTCGCATGATCTCAAGTTTATTTATAATTTCCTTGCCAAGCTACATGGAAGAGATTTTTACTCGAAATGTTGCCAATATATATTAGTATCCTTAGTTTCATAATCAGGAGTATCTATACTATATTATAAAGCATTTAACAAAAACTCTTAAAACCCACTTTTTATGCGTAAAGTACTGTTTATTAATGCATATTACTTAAAACTCAAGATTACAAGTAGATTATGCGTAAGTACAACTTATTAAAGCTTTATATCTTAATTCGTTTAACTAACTGTGGATAAACATAATCAAATATAGGATAAACATCTCATTTTAAATATAAAAAATCTAAAATATAATTAGGATAATCATTATCTTCTAACAAAATACTTAATTATTATCGTTATAAAAATTATATTATTAAATCAAAAATAAATTACTTTCTTATTAAACCTAAATTAAATTATAATAACAAAAGTTGAATTAAAGAAATTACACAACAAAACAAGATTTTTTAAATAGTTAATTTGATATTAATATCGATATGTTTTTAAAATTTTTAAATATATCTTTAAATTTATATTTTATTCAAAAATAAAAACATTATCGTTTTTTTCAAAACCACATAAAACCATACTATAACATTGATAGGGGGACAGAATAAAACGGAACATTAAAATTGAGATATATCTCGTTGTAATGCACGAGTACCCTTCTAGTAATATATATGTATATATATATATATAGAGAGAGAGAGAGAGAGAGACAAAG